TACTTTGGGCATGACGGTATGAGAAATCCTAGCACTGAACTCGAGAAAGAGGAGTATATCATCAATACTGTACGGCGTATATACAGTTATATAACACAAATTCCTGAAAAGGCATTAAAGTATTATTCTATTCTATTCTATTCTATAAGAAATAAATTTATTTGTTAAAAGATCTGATTCCTTACCCCGGGAAAATATGTAAAGATTACTACCCGGAAGTTCTATCTCCAAGCTTGACCTACCTACTTACCTCCACACACACACACACACACGCACGCACACACACACACACAATAAAAACCCCAATAACAACTGATTCATGTGGACAGGAATATTGACGGAATAGGCGAGTTAGAATAAAGCCGGACCAAAATATTCTTTCACATAAATCATAATTCCCCAATTACTCCCACTGGTATATGTAAATATTCACATTACTAGTTAAAGCGAAAGAACGACGCGTATACCATAAAAATCAAAGGGATTTAAAATCGATGAAACCCTAGCAGTAATTCTGTTAAAGGACAGGCCATCTTGCCCTGACTCCAGAATCCCTTCATATTCAATGTTATTATTATAATTAAGAAAATAAATGTGTTTTGATACCTGGCAACCCTTTCATACTTTAACAAGGTAATCAACAAAAATCAAAGAAGGATTTAGAGAAAACCCTTTATACCATGCAGCTGAGCACCCCGTATCAGCGTAAAGGGATCATTACATCTGTATAACAAATTAACCGGCAAGATTTTGACTTAAATCACACTGATGGTGAATTTCCATTACAGGCCCGTGATCTGAGAAGCTTGGTCTTAGCAGGATATAGAAGAATGGAGGGGTATTCTGTTCGTAGTTTCGAAGCCGATATTAAATTTAGATATCGAATTACAAATGGTTAAGTGAAATTCTCACCGGTCGCTAACCACTGAGTGATATGTCTACGTCTGGGAAAATATCCCTGTGAACATGTGTACGTGCATTGAATAAATTTACCGTTGTTCTTTGACGAAAGTCACAGTTTGTAAAGATAATGTCATTACCTTGAAGGCGGTTTTAGATTTTTATTAAAATATTTCACCGCGGTCATTAGGTAAAGCCGAGTTTTAAAAGGCCGTGATAGAGTATGTTCCGTCTTTCAACGAAGAAACGACAAAGTTTATCAAGCTTAAATACGAAAACTATTTAACAATTTGATAAAAATAACATCTCTTTCTGGGTCCCTTTCGCCATCCCAATTTCCCTGACAACTCCAAATATTTGGTTAGTCGCTACGCTGAAGGTGTGCTCCTACCAGTCTCAAATGTACATGCATACATCTTTTACTTACATATGAATCCTTCGTTTTTAAAACGCCCACTGAATTTCTTTACATAACTGGTTAGCAGCTAATCTTTAGAAATTGAATTCAGTCTAAGGAAACTTTGATGATACCGCTTTCATAATGGAATGACTCGGCCAATAACATTTGAACATTGGGAAAAGAAACATTTTTATTACTGGAACATATATGATTGCCTAACTTACAAAATCATGATACCACAGTTAACTTTAATTAATAATAATCAATTATGTTGTCCCATGAAGATAATCAAGAGAGACAAGCCTGAATTACACGTGACTGTCTTGTTTGATGTCGTGATGTCTGAGTTAACAGTAACAGTACAGTTGTAGATCATTCAATGGGTTGGGTTTCGGACTTAAGTTTCTTAAACTTATACTCTTATTTGCTGACTCTGTATTTAATGGCGGTATGGGGTTACAGTCTAAACGGGTGGTGACCGAACGTGAATATACACTCGTGTTGTTCTTGATCACGGTCGGGAAAAGAGTAAATGAAAGAAGAATATAATTTTAAAAATAATCAAAATAATTTTAATCCATAAATATTTTGATCACAAAGACGTGAAATTTCCTTTTTATTATCAAAACATATTTTTAAAGTTTTTACTGATCCTCGTTGAATTCATTTTGAACGTGTACCCATGGATTGTAAACTGCCACGCAAATGAAAGCGTATACCCATGTTTAATGAAGGTTCTAAATGAAACAAGAAATAGTTATGGTGATGTATTTGATAAGGATGTCATAATGATCTAACAGGGCGGTGGGGTAGCCTAGTGGTTAAAGCGTTTGCTCACCGAAGACCCGGGTTCGATTCCCCACATGGGTACAATGTGTGAAGCCCATTTCTGGAGTCCTCCGCCGGAACATTGCTAAAAGCGGCGTAAAACTATACTCACTCAACTGACCTTACGTTTGTGGTGTTTTGCCCTGTGCTTTCAAACTAGTTAAGTTTTGATGTTTTCAATCTAATAAAGTTTTGATGTTTTCAACCTAGTAAAGTTTTGAAGTTTTCAATCTAATAAAGTTTTGACGTTTTCAACGCAGTAAAGTTTTGATGTTTTCAATCTAATAAAGTGCTGACGTTTTCAACGCAGTAAAGTTTTAATAACCAAATAATAATAGCGATTTGAAACTATGATCGTTTGTTTAACAACTTTTATCCTAAGTTGAATAAAATTCTGAGATTTAAATGTTCAATTGGCAAGGTATAATCATGAGGATTCGCACTTCTAATTTCACTTTATTTGATTTACGTTTTTGTTTAAAGTGAAATTCATCGGTACGTTTTCACTGCAAACAGACTATACACAATGGTGATTATGAAATAATGAAGCATGCTCGATGTAACTGTATATGATTAAATCCCGTACTGTTTAATAACATTTGACGTAGTCATATTGGTCAAGCAGGGGAAAACCGATCCTCGTTCATTTTCATACCTTGTAAACAAATTAACAAACACGTAAAGACATTAAACTTCCAGTATCGGATATCTTACATAAAGAACATAATTAATTTGTCTAATTGAAAATCGTATTCAGCAATCAGTCGATGTCCAGAATAAATTTAGATGATTCGCTTGGTGATTACAACAAACATCACGACAATAATTACGGGAAGGCAAATGGGAGTTCTTTGTTCGCAAGATGTGTAGTTTATAATAGGAATGAGATATATGTCTGTGCTCTGATGCCACAATAGGCGAATAGTGTGACCTCGTCATTGTCCAAAGTTTACTGATTGTGTGTGTCTTATTACGACTGTCTAGATTTTAGAAAATGACTTTTGGTCTATTAGTTTCAAAATAGGTTTGTTAAGGTGATACAAAGTTTACCAAAGTTTCAAATCTCTCAGGATATATCTTTCTTCATATTGCTCTCTGAATTTTTGCGGGACTGTTTGTCGGTAATAACTTTGCAGCCTTTTTAAATTAAATGAATCATTACACACAGAAATACTTTAATACTTCATCAAACATTTAAAGCATTTTAAAATCATTCAAAGAGGAAGCCAGGATCTGTACACTTATTTGGATGAATAAACATTTAGGAATGCATTAAAATGGAACGTTAGTTTGAATGCATTATGTAATTAATGCATTAAGACGTCCTTCCAGCCTCATTCCCGCGGATTTCGAGTCGGGATTGATCCTGTAACGACTGAGGGGCGGTGGGGTAGCCTAGCCTAGTCGTTAAGCGTTCGCTCGTCACGGCGAAGACCCGGGTTCGATTCCCCACATGGGTACTACGTGTGAAGCCCGTGATATTACTGGACGATTGCTAAAGGCGGCGTAAAACTATATTCACTCACTGTAACGACTGCGTTGAAACAACATTCACTGTTTGTTACGAACAGGTTTCATGCCGTTAGCGAATGTTGTTTTGTGCCGCTGCCAGCAATAAGGATTGTGCCTGGACATAATACATTCGTTTCAGAAATTGAAAATATAAGAATAATGAAAGAACAACAACAACAACAAGCAAACAAAACAAGGATTTCTTGTTCTTATGCGCAACCTTTGCGCGTAAATTATGAATGGTGAGCGAGTATGGTTTTACGCCGCTTTTAGCAATATTCCAGCAATATAACGGCGGGGGACACCAGAAAAGGGCTTCACACATTGTGCCCATGAGGGGAATCGAACCCGGGTCTTCAGGGTGTAGAGCCAATACTTTAACCGCTGGGCTACCCCCAAATATGAAAGGAATGAAATCAACATTTACAGTGATTGAGTATGGTTTGAACAGTATTTCAGTTGAATAACATTTGAGGGGAAAGTCCAACCGATGCTGGTGTAAAGTTTTAGTGAAACCATCCAGTATAGGTATATTGTAAATACATGTATTAACATAGAACAACTGTGAACGTCGACTATCTACCTGCCTGTGCAGATATTGAGTGAGTGAGTGAGTTTAGTTTTACGCCGCAGACAGCAATATTCCAGCTATATGGAGCCGGTCTGTAAATAATCGAGTCTGGACCAGACAATCCAGTGATCAACAGAATGAGCATCGATCTACGCAATTTGGTTACGATGACATGTGTTAACCAAGTCAGCGAGCCTGACCACCCGACCTTACGATCGGATTACTGAAGATCAATTCTAACCCGGATCTTCACGGGTCCAGCAAAGAGGAAGTATTCTGCAGACATGCATACACGTTTAAAACTTTTCTAATTCACGTTATGTGCAACTATTCAATGCTTTTTAAACAATTGGGTGTGATGTTTTGGTATCAAATGTACTAACGCTTTCAAACCATTGATCCCAACCTTACACGTGTCATATACCCACCAACAATTATTCATTGACAAAATGTCCAGCTCGACGTCACAACCATTACGATCTGACTTGGTAACCGATCTCAAACGGAATCTGATACACGGCAATAAAACTTTGCGCATCTTCTAAATCACGAGGAGCACGTGCACATTGTGCTGTCCGTGCGATTTGACAGAATGTGCGTCAGAGAGGTTCAGACAGTTCGTTCTGTGGAATTTATGCCTTTGTTTAATGTGATATTGTCGACTCTGCCACCTGCAAGCGTAACATTAACTCGAGAACTGTGATCACATTCGCGAGATTCCACTGACACCGAGTTGTTTTAAACAAGAACCATCTTTGTTATTTCTTCCACATGGAAGGATTTGTGGATAGTATAATCTACAAATTTTCCAATCTCGGCCAGGCTTTTTAATTCGTGGCTGAAACGTGAAGTTCTATATTTAGACCACGGCGTGATCAAAGAGTGTTGGTCACGTGACCATGGATTGCCAGCGAGCAGACGACATTCGGGAAAGTTTATAAATGTGGTTATCTGTTTGTGACATTACTTTTGCTCATGCATTCCTCGTGGCAAGCAGCAGCGAAAATGTAAGTATGCAACTGCAGAATTAGTATTTTCAGGAAGTTTGCATAAGTGTTATGGCGTCTGCCGTTACTGCATTAAATCTAGCCAAGACGCGAATTATTGTTTTCGTTGTAGTAACTTATATATTGCAGAATATTGTGAACACAACATAGCGTAATTACTCTCTCACTCAGTGCAGTTAAATGGGGAAACATCCCCGTTTCTCTTTATCATAGATTAAAAAAGATCCGTCCCTTGAAGTTTTAAATTCAACATTTCATCATCAACATTTTATGCAGGCGTTGTGTGCAGTATAGATTGATGTACATACAAACAACTGAACGCTCACATATTAAGTTTTATAACTGCAAATAATATTCATAACTGTACTTCAACTGTTTACAGTCCCTGTCCATGATTGCGTAAATATATTCTTAAGCATAGGTAGGGGATAAAAAACGGGGGTTACGGGCGGAAAAATCTTTCCGCTGTGTTTTGGTATCAAGGCATCTTAGATGTGTTCTTTTTACGCATTGTCTAGATTACTGAAACAACATTAGCTCTGAAAATATCTTCTTAGATTTGATATACAATGCTTGTACCACGTTTGAATGTTTCATTTGTGTTAGAAATATATTATGCATGATCAGGGAATCTATCTAGCTCTGCAGACAGGCCGATATTCATCCCTAAGTATGGAGAGACTATGTCGGTACGAATTTCTATATTGGAATTACATGTTTTTCAGTTCCTAAAATAAAATGTTACCATAAATTACACCCAATGTTCTGACTTTATGGAAGTGGCTTACTGATAACAGGACACCTAAAGATAACCGAAAAGACATTTGTGATCGGTTTACACTATTTCATTGAATGAAAAAATACCCTCTAAATTTGACAAAATCAGCACTTTAATTGCCAAGGAAATTCAGCTAGGTACTTTGCGTAAAGCCTAGTGCGTGGGAGCAAATTCATTTTAGTTCCTCAATTGATTGGTGTTGTAAATCCTAGAAATGTATCTATTCTCGTTTTCAAATATGCCAATATGAGACGGAAAGATAAAAACCTACAAATACATATACTGTGCTGATGTTTGTCGACAAAACATTTCTGAGCGATTGGATTTCATGCACTTTAAACTATTTTAAATGACGTCTTCTGTTTTATTCCCGCTGAAGTGAAGTTGCCGTAAGGAATATCTGTTTTCGTGTTAGATAATCTGCAGGACGGAAATATTTTTAAATTACAACGTTATTTCTTGAAACCTGATGAGACAGCATTTCTTATAGTTTCTGAGCATTCTGTTAACAATTCAAACACTTATGCAGGTCTGCTGTCAAACATTTACGCTTTTGCTTTGTGAATTATTCAGTCATTAAAACCTAGATTTAACCGCCTCCTTTTAACATTTGATAGAGCCTCTTTGTCGAGGATTGTCGATTGCGTCATACCAGAATATTGTAAGAGGTGGCACTCTGGTAGTAAAGGGGATAAAACAAGTACAGGTGGTCTCGGGAATCTGTGTGCTGTGTGTGAGCTGGGTATGAAGGTTAATCGGCGGCTTGGTATCTCACAATTTACCTCTAAAGTACATCACCGCGAATATCTGTAAAATTGTTGACGCGGCCTTATACAATATTCACTCAGTCTCTCAACAGCACCGCTCAACACGTTTTGTTAATTGGAGTACCGTTCATATATGTGTCATATATTGGTTGTTGCCAAAAATCTTACACTCAGAATAATCTTCAGTAACCTATGCTTATCGTACGAGGCGACTAACGGGATCGGGTGGTCAGGCTCGCTGACTTGGTTGACACGTCATCGGTTCCCAATTGCGCAGATCGATGCTCATGCTTTTGATCACTGGATTGTCTGGTCCAGACTCGATTATTTACAGACCGCCGCCATGTAGCTGGAATATTGCTGAGTGCGGCGTAAAACTAAACTCACTCACTCACTGCACTCAGAATACCGCCCGGCTGTATCGATCGTATGGTATCGATAGGGGTCAAGGTGTCTTGTTTAACAGTTGTTAATAAGAGTAAATGTACACGTTTTTGTACTTGACATTTCAGATTTGTTCTGACCTCAATGTGATCGTGTACGACAAGCAATCAAACCACAAAAGTTGTAAATTCATTTCTCTGCCTTGAGAGTTATGAGCATATATACTAAGAACTCGAGAAATATAGGACAATGTTACACTTGAGAGTCGTTGTTTGAGTGCACGTGTTACTTGTTGAGTAAGTGAGTGAGTAAGGTTTTACGCTGCTTTTAGCAATATTCCAGCAACATCACGGCGGGTCACCAGGAATGGACTTTGTACCCATGTGGGGATTCCAACCCGGGTCTTTGGCGGGACGAGCGAACGCTTTAACCACGAGGCTACCCCCACGTCCCCGGTTACTTGTTGAGTATACGTTAAGCGGGTATGGACAACAGCTCGAGTCGCTCAATCCGGCGTAGTAAACAACTCACTCACTCATTTCCTGTGTGCCCCACCGTGTTATTGCTTGAATGTTGCTGAAAGCGGCGTAAAACCCAACTCACTCAGTATTCTTCATGTGGACTAAAATCATCAGACAGTTGTCCTCTTGACCCACACTCTTTATGCAAGCCTTTATATGGCAAACATTAGTTTGAAAATATCCTTTTAACACTTTATGTTCATATTCATGCAGATGCGTGCGTTTAATATGTACAATCACGCACATCAGGTAGAGGCCATGCGAGACTTCACCTGCCTGGTTGGTTCAATATGAAACTGGGCTGTCTGCTCCAGACTCGATTATTTACAAACTGCCGCAAAATAGCTGGAAAATTGCTGAGTGCGGCTTTAAACAACAACCTATCAATCAATAGAAAACCCAATAGCATAATTACACATCTATTACATCTGAGTGAGTGAGTTTGGGTTTACGCCGCTTTTAGCAATATTCCAGCAACATCACGGCGGGGGACACCAGAAATGGGCTTCGCACATTGCACCCATGTGGGGAATCGAACCTGGATCTTCGGCGTGACGAGCGAACGCTTTAACCACTAGGCTACCCCGCCGCCCCTCTGTTACAACTGTACAGTAGATGTGTGTATTCGTTACATCATCAGTTTCCATGTTCTTGATGGGTAACTGTAATACATTGTGTACGTGATACACTATCGAAGATTTTTTCTAATGCAGGCTCGTTATGAAAGGAAACAATCTATGCGTCTTATTACACGTGGGCATTTCGTTTTGAAAGCGTTAAACCGAGCGGTTGTGTGGCCTCATTATAACCTCCGGTATTTACTTATGACTTCTAAATGTGTCACTGTTCCAAAATATAACTCTGTTTTACTGTTAAGGAGATGCTTTGACATTCTTGCCTACGTCAGAAGATACTTAGATATCATTTGGAAGGCAGTATGAATCAATATCTCGTCAAAATATACTTTACTTTAAAAGCCAAAGGGGCAGAAATATAAACTGCAATGCTAATAATATTTTGAAATGGATTATTCTTAAACGGATAATTTAATAGCAGTTTTCTTCAACTACGCCTAGTTTCTGGACAGGTTAAACACTCTTTTTTTCAACGAAAAGGGAGAAATTGCATTTATTTTTTTACAAGATGATACAGAACCAGTCATTGTAAATCAGAAAGGAAGTGTTAAAGAGGAGGACAGAGGAGGAGATTTTGTATAATTTTGACAATACGGACATAAAGACAGATTGACATTATGTACATTATGTAAGTTTCAGAGCTGCATTTAAGCAGTCCTTAAAGTACTGTCGGAAATGCTAGAAAAATGCTTTTTAGCCTTAATATCTTTATAAAGGTGATAAATGAACTATGTTGTCAGTATATCAACTCGCCTATTGTCTACCTAATTTTATTTCAATCGATTTAACCTTCCCATGCATTTAAAGGGCAGTTTACAGGAGAGAATTTGGTACCAAAACAGCAACTTAAGATTTTTCCAGAGTTCAACAACAGAAATCTGAAATAGTCTTTACATTTATGCTAATCATACAGGTGGTGTAAAAATATGAATTAAAGTTTTTCCTAAACAAATAAATGTTGAATGTTTGTGTTACTCTACTTAATTATCGTTTCTTTATTGAAGAAATATTAATATAAATGTTAAGTCTTGATAAATAAGTTTCCCGTCATGCATGCACATCTTTATCACAGCGTCCACTATGGCCAACGATTTGCAGTCAATTGTTGCAAAGGTTTATAGTTTTTTCTGCTTAAAAAAGACAGAGGTAAACCTTTCATTAGTTTGGAAAGGGTTTATTACAGATCTTATAGAGCTGCTGGCATGTCTTACCAACAAGTTTACAATATTGTAAACAAATCAGACAAGACAGGGACCGTCTCAAATGCAAAACTGGGACGTGAAACCATCCTTGACAACTTTGACAAGGGAGTGTTTAGACGGGCGGTCTACAAACTTTATGAGAAGAAAAATATATATATTTTAAAGAAGCTACACCAGTGACTTCGTTAAATCTTTGGCCAATGTTCACAACTAGATTAAACCAGGGAGACTCTATAAGGGGGGTAGAGTATCCCTGATTAAACTGACCGAATTACATCCATATTTGTTCAATGAAATATACTGTTGACATGCAAAACATTTATTAAAACGTTGCACATTTCTACAATCAATCGATAAGATAACACAAGTGATAGGATTCTTTCCAATGTACAGTAATTCGTATGTTTATTTCAAAACAAACACACATACACAAATGATCCTTTACATAACCGATACGTAACGTACACATATTCAACATTTTGCAGAAAATATCTATTGAGATGACCCCTCCCACGAGCGTGTGCTCAGGTGTCAATTTCACCTGTCGATACAGTGGATGCTGATGACGTAACACAGGCCCTTAATGTTTGTATCAAATAACGTCCCACTACCCCTTATTTTTCTAAGTTTTTGGTATTTTCATCAGTAAAAACACATTTCAGAGCATGTCTCAAAATTTATTCCCTCGGTCTACATTAGGTAGATGTTTCTTGAAGTGATATTTGTTATTTAAGTAACTGTAATACCTCTGAATTTTAAATATAAGTCAAAAAGCATTTTTCTAGCATTTCCGACAGTACTTTAGCTAATATTGTTCCAACAGTTGACATGGGATGACTTATTAATACAGTTTTTACAAGGCCCTTCTTGTTTTTCCCATAAACCAATGGATACAGACTGTGTAAATAATTTGAGTAACAGATATTCCGCTGTGCATATGCACCGTTTCTGCTGCGCCAAACACGATCTCTAAAATCAGTTATAATACTAATATTAATGACCATTTATAAAGCGCCTGTTTCCACACACTTGAGCATGTTCAAAGCACTGACGCAGTGTTATCCCTGTGAGGCGCTAGAATGTTAAGGCCTATTGCATCGGGTACCCATTCACAGCTGGATGTACATAGGCAATTCATGAACAAACTCACTTACCTACGTGAAGATCCGGGGTAGAATAGGTCTTCAGCAACCCATTCTTGTCATATAAGGCGACTATGCTAACCGTAAAAGGCGACTAACCTGATCGGGTGGTCAGGCTCGCTCACTTGGTTGACACATGTCATCGCTTCCCAATTGCGCAGATCGATGCTCATGCTGTTGATCAAAGGATTGTCTGGTCCAGACTCGATTATTTACAGACCGCCGCCATGTAGCTGGAATATATCTGAGTGCGGCGTAAAACTAAACTCACTCACTCACTCACCTAAGGTAGGACCACATATACTGAACCACAAAAGAAACGCCGCTTTTCAAAACCAAATGCAAAATTTTGTTCTTGGAAGTCTATGTCTTTATTATGATTTTACCGTTTTCTTAACATGTTTTTCAATCCAACTTGACAGTTATTACCAACATCAGTGTGTTTTCTGATGAAAAAGCATATCGACCAAACGCACCTAAAAAGGCAAACATGGTTAAAGGCTCCGTATGACATTCGTGAAAATGAAAATGCACGTGCATGTCGTGACAAACCTACCAATGAAAGCGAATCCCAAACTCGCCTGAAATCATTTTTTGTTTTGACACAACCAGCATGCCACGTCTTACGAGAGATCAGAGGAACCAAAACGTGGGACGACTGCTAGTTGTCCAGACTGCACGGAGGGTAGCTAATTGTTTTAATGTTCATGTTAGGACAATCTACCGACTGCAGGAGGTGAGGTGAGGTGAAATTGGGTTTAACGTCGTGCTTGAGAATATTTCGCTCATATGACGACGTGCATGCGTGTGTATGTGTAGGTGCGGCTGCTTGTACTAGCCCAGACTGAAGCTGGTTTTATAGTGCTAGCCCACTGAGATACCATGCCGCAGTGAAGCATGAATACCCCACTCAGACACATTATACTGACTCCGAGCCGACCAGTCCTTGTTGTACCCATTAATGCCGAGCGCCAGGCAGGGACCAACAAGTACCATATTTTAACGTCTTTTGGTATGACGCGGTCGGGGATCGAACCCGCGACCTTCCGCTCTCCGGGCGGACGCTTTAACCACTACACCACGCAGGCGGTCACCGACTGCAGGAGTGGTATAAGGTCACTAGCAGCATCCAAGACTGTCCACGCAGTGGGCGACATTCAGTAACATTGCAACGTCAAGACCGACAGATTGTGCGCCACCATCTTCTTGATCGCTTCCCCAGAGTGACGGAAACGGCATGCAATACTATTGGGACTAGCAACAGACCAATCAGTGCCGAAACAGTGCGTCGACGTTTGCGTGGAAGAAACCTCTGCTGTCACAGACCCTATTGTAGTCCTGTCCTCACCGCTAAAACCGACTGCAATGGGCAACTCACCATCAAAATTGGCGTTAACAACAATGGAGAACTGTGCTGTTATCTCACGAAAGCCTATATTGTGTTATTGACAGTCGATGGCAGAGCGAGAAAATGGCGAAGGCGTTGTGAAATGTTTTCCAATGGGTGTATTCTTGAAAGAGACTCATTGGGTGGTCCAAGCATCATGGTGTGGGGTGCAATCGATCAGAACCAGTTAGTTGACACCGTGGTGTTCCAGAATCTTGGTCCAGGATGAGGAAATGACGTGACAGCTGCTCGCTATATTGACTAAGTCATAAGACCCCACGTTGTACCACATTTTGGACGTTACAAAAATCACATCTTCCAGCTAGACAACGGTTGTGCCCATACTGCCAGAGCAACGTATTACTTCCTAAGACAACATGGCATCCAAACCCTACAATAGCTTGCACTCAGCCCGGATAAGTCCAATAGAACACTTTTGGGACGAGATTCAAAGAAAACTGAATGGCCTCCATCCAAGGCCGACAACTGCGGCTGGACTCGATCAGGCATTTCGCATTTCACAGAAGTGCCTATGGCCTTCATTGACTGGCTAATTCATTCCATGTACAGACGATGCAACGATTTCATCGATGCCCATGGGGGCCACACACGATGCTGACTGGTACCATTTTTTGGTGATTTTGTTTGTGTGAACTGTAAATGTGATTCCCGAAAATGTGTTAACCATAATTGTCAAGTTTGAACTCAGTTCTCCGTTTTGATTGTTAATTATAGTAAATTAAAGTGTGTGGTTTAAGAAACCGGTATCAGTGCGACATTTATTTTGTGGTTTAGTATATGTCACGTGTGCTTCGTTGTGGGGCTGGAGTGAAGTCCCAGAAACTCTCAGGAGTCAAGTTGCCCCAAACGGTCACCCATCCAAGGACTGTCCGCGAGTAACCCATTAAGTAACCAATGCCTGTCGTAAAAGGCGACTAACGGCATCGGGTGGTCAGGCTCGCTGACTTGGTTGACATCGTATCCAAAATGCGTAGATCGGTGCTCATGCTGTTGATCACTGGATAGTCTGGTCCAGACTCGATTATTTACAGACCACGACATAGCTGCAATATTGCTGAGTGCGGCGTTAAACAACAGCAACAACAGTTATGACCAAAAGAAATATCCTTCCTCCGACCAGAGGACCCTTCATTGACGTCATTTAGGATTTGCCTTTTTCTGGTAGTATGAAATAGAGAGTATGCTGGATATGCCTGCCTGTAGTATCGATAAACCTTCTTCTGGTGGTATGAAATAGATAGTATGCTGGCTATGCCTGCCGGTAGTATTGGATATACCTTTTTCAGATGTATGAAATAGACAGTATACTTGCTTTGCCTGCCTGTATAGTATTGATATACCTTCTTCTGGTAGTAGGAAATAGATAGTATGCTGGCTATGCCTGCCTGTAATATTGACATACCTTCTTCTGGTAGTATGAAATAGACAGTATACTTGCTATGCCTGCCTGTAGTATTGAGATACCTTCTTCTCTTAGTATGAAATAGACAGTATACTTGCTATGCCTGCCTGTAGTATTGATATATCTTCTTCTGGTAGTATGAAATAGATAGTATGCTGGCTATGCCTGCCTGTAATATTGACATACCTTCTTCTGGTAGTATGAAATAGACAGTATACTTGCTATGCCTGCCTGTAGTATTGAGATACCTTCTTCTCTTAGTATGAAATAGACCGTATACTTTCTATGCCTGCCTGTAGTATTGATATACCTTCTTCTGGTAGTATGAAATAGATAGTATGCTGGCTATGCCTGCCTGTAGTATTGATATACCTTCTTCTGTATCTGCAACTTCTGTTTGGTTTCCGAATCTCCCGCAATTGCATTTTACGACAAATAGAGTGGCAAATAACCCGCCCATTCCTGATTTATATCAGTGGATATTCATGAGATTAGACATCTTAAATGTACATGACTAGACTGCATGTTTTTCTGTTTTATAGGAAGCGTATGCGCCCAGATGATGTTGATGATGGTCAAGACCAAAGGTTTGGACTCACCGGCCAGGCCAGTGATGTTCCTGTACCGTCTCTAACGATCAGGTATGTTCAACATCAGCAGTGGCAGTCAGAACAACCATGTATAATGATTAGTGCTATAATACAGCTTTGTGAATGTCACCACATTTATTACATAATCCCGGACAAAATGCGGTGCTGTATGAACTGCAGGACAAAACGTCTCTTGCATTTGCTATGAGAATTCCAGGGCAAAGTGTCAATGTGCGTGCTGTGGGAATTCCAGGGCAAAAGGTCTTTTTGCTTGTGGTAGGGTAATTCAAGATCAAGATGTTTCTTGCGTGTGGTGTGGCTTCAATCGTAATCTGACAAATCAATGTTCCTGCTTATAGCCACCGGTCTTTCTGGTGGGTTATTTACAGTTTACTTACAACTTGCTGAAATCTTGCTATCAGCTGATTAAAACAACCATAACTCCCTCACCCGATTGAAATCCCACAACACCACTGTACAGCTACCGGAAAGGGGTTTCACCTGCGTGTTATCACATGCCCATGTTCGGCCCAAAGTCTTTTGCCAATGATATTTCTCCCCATTCAGAATATTACGTGATACATTGCAAATATGATATGATGAGGGAAATGATACACAATATACACACACTCCCTCTCTCTCTCTCTCAACACCCACCCCCACCCCCCGAATTGAACAGTTTGTACAAGCCCTTTACTTGTAAGCCTTTGAACTGACTTTTTTCACTTAAACAGGTACCCCCCAGTATTTGATGACGACGTGTCTTCTCAGCAGTTCCAGTACATGCAATGTAGACCAAGAAGACAGAGCTACCCACCATTCAACCCTTCCTCTCAAACCTATCCCACAGACCGTTACTTCGAGTACCCACAGCGCCCTTGGCAAGACACCCAAGGCGAACAGGAAGCAGGCAGCTGCTATGAAGCCGTTGACTTTTCTATGAACAGAGATGCTTCACGTGGAATAGGTCCTCAGGTTCATTCAGTAGGGGTAACTCCATCTGCATCGTGTGTCCCTTCGGCGTCGTTCCACAGCGCTGGGACGAATGCTAGTCCAAGTCATACACCTGGGAGGTCAGTTCAGGACATTGTCAGGGGCACCCCAACATTTCAACCCCCGGACCAGGTGCTTCGTCAAATGCCACTCGTGAGCCCCAGTTCGGAACCATATTCATTTACCCTTCTTCACGGCTCCAGTGTCTTTCAAAGAAACGAACCGTCTTATTTATCAGGACCGAGCTACCAACATCGGTCCTTTCCAGAGGGCGCTGCCCCTCCATGCCAGGGAACTCGGGCTCTCCCAGTACATGTCCCAGATCTCCCAGTTGGATTAACGAGTGCAGAAGAAAAACCTTGTCATCAAGCAGAGGAATCCCAGTAAGTGCATAAGACTTCCGATTTTAATGGTACTGTTTGGGTGTTTGCCGAAAGTATTATTTTAAAGCAGGTTAATATCGACTATACTCAGAGCCATTACTGAGGGATCAAACAGATAAAGAGATAACACGTTGCATTTTCAACCTCAAACAGTGCTTTTCATTTTGGTCTGAACCCAAATTGACTAACTGTGGTATTTTGTACATGTAATTATTAAATCTCTTTTTAGTTCTGGTGTGCGTTTCAGGTAGCGCTTTCCGTCACTTCAGTCTTGCATTTTTCATTATGTTAATGTTGACTGTCCATTTTCCACTTCCATATGCATAATTTGTATGAGTGAGTGAGTGAGTGAGTAAGGTTTTATGTCGTTTTTAGCAGTTTTAGTAAACTTAGGCTCAGTATTATTCGTTACACTAGTATAGCAGTGTAACGAATCATACTGAGCCTGAGTTTACTTTGACTGCCAAAGCGGGGGAACACCAGAAACGGGCTTCACACACTACTGTTGTGGGGAAGCGAACTCTGGTCTTCTGCGTGAAAAGCGAACACTTTAGCCACCCCACCCTCCCATTACGTGTGACATTGACATAAACAGCGTTTTACTACTGTTAATCACGTTGTCAACATATTAATCCTATTGACGCTCATCAGCATATGGTGACCATCAGTTTCAATGGTCATTTAATACACTTTCAGGATTATGACGCGGAGTATATGTCCTTTATTGATCGCGATGCTTTGAAAAGTACCTTTTCGTACTCAACTAACATATCAAATAACGATAAACGCGGCTACATTTACACAAAGGAAAAGTTTAATTTTGGCTTCTGAAGTATGAACAAAGGCCAATGATAGTAGATATTTTTCAATGACTGTCTGACTAACTAACAATCACAGTAAAGTAGAGGATCTTTCTGTGCCTAGGTATCTAAATAATAACAAGGGAGATACATGCAACCTCTGTATTACGTCAAATGCGACTTTTTTGTGTCACTATAGTCCATTTGGCTCAAAAGCGGACCGATGAATTGCAATCTAACTAAAAAACTAGTAAACATATACAGTACAGCCAGAAATTATTGAGAATTTAAAGATTGTAATTTTTTCAATTGTTTTCACTCATTACTCACGTCTTAAATGTGAATATTAGCAGAACATAACTCCAGATTCAAAGACAGGTGAACAGTTAGTATTTTGTCAAATCACCATTGGCAGCAATGCAGGCTTCTATGCGGCTTCTAAGTCGTGGTCCATGCTGTCCCAATATCGGACCACCTCTTCTTTCATTTCAGCAATATTTGTCAGATTTTTCTTATTGACACTTTCCTTCATAAGTCCCCAAACATTTTCTATTGGATTTAGGTCAGGGCTATAGCTTGGCCAATCTAATAATGTCGATATTTTGGGTCCGAAATCCTGCTGGAATCCTAAAAATTCCATAGAACACGTGAGCAGATGGTTGAACGGTTGGATGTTTTGAGTCGAGCGGAAGGTCGCGGGTTCGATCCCCGACCGCGTCATACCAAAAGACGTTAAAATATGGTAAACTTGTTGGTCCTTGCCTGGACTGGTCGGCTCGGAGTCAATATCTGGGGTAAAACATGTCCATAGATACACGTGATGCACGATGTCATATGAGCGAAATATGTCCCTCGTTAGAATATCTGTGTACCGGTTACTGTTCATATTCCCTTCAAATACACAGAGGGGAGTTGCCCCTAACACAGATATGCCACCCCACACGTTAAATTTCGGACTGTACTTTGGGCGCTGATACAAAGGTTTTTCAGTTTGGTCCAGAATTCAGTGTATTAGGAAACAGCCACACAGAACTTTCATCTGAGAAAATCACATTGTCTCCGTTAAAATTTCTATGCTGTAAGCACCAGTTCAACCTTCGCTCCTTTTGTTCAGGTTTCATGATCGGTGATGGAATTCCTCGACTTTTCTGCCAACCCATTGCATGCAGCTCAGTTCTAATTGTGTCCTTACAGACAGCCACAGTTCCTCTATCAATCATATCCAGCGTTAAGTTTTCTTAACTCCTTCGTTTGTTTTTAGAAACAAGAATACCAAGCCGCCTCCTCTCACCGACAGTCAATTTTCTGGGCCTACCTGCACCTCCCTGGTGCCATATCCATTTGCAATATTTTTCAAAACACGATAAACAGTGGACAAAGGGATGCCTGTTCTACTTGAAATCACTTTAGCTGATCTGATGTCCTTGTTATAATACTCTAAAATCAACTTCCTCTTCTCTAAATCATCCATACTGAGGATGACTGAAAATGTCGTCTGCTAGCAAGTAAACAAAGGGGGATAACTCTTCACAAACTAATGAAAAAGGATTAACGGAGTTGTCTCTCTTGAATGAAACCAAGCACTTGATAGCTGGTCAAGGTTGTTTATACTAGAAATCCAATTAAACACATTCCTAAAATTCTCAATAATTTCTGGTCATAATATAATACACAATGAAACACTGACCACAATTATAACATTAAACCAACTCTGAGTTTTATTTGTAGAATTTATGTCCTAAAAATATAGAAAAGATGCATAACAAACTATCATTAAAATATTGATACAGTTCACTATTTGTTACGGGGTGCATTAAAGAAAGGAATTTACAGCCAACTATTATTGTACGTGTAGCACGTGCACAAGTGCCGACAAAGTTATTGATTCATTTACTTGTGCTGCGCCATCTCCATCCTTTCTCGCACAACTGGTTGTCCCTTTCTTTGCACCCATCCCTCATAACGAACAGTGAACTGTGTAAATATTTTAATGATAGTTTGTTCAACAACTTTTGTCTTTTTTAGGACATAATTCTGCAAATAAATCACAGCGTTGGTCTGATGTTTTGATTATGGTCAGGGTTTCATTGAGTATTATATGTTTAGTAGTTTTCGAGTTAGATTGCAATTCATCGGTCCGCTTTTGAGCCAAACGGACTATACTTACATCGTTAACAGGCAAGTAATATGATTGGATCTACTTCAGTTTCTTGATAACGGTGTTTGTATTCTGTTTGTTTGTCCATTTGTTGGTTAATGCTGCACACAGAAAATTTCCAGTTGTATGACGGCAGTCAGCTATGCAATCGAATCTGGACCAAACAATCCATGTACCAACCACAAGATCAAATAGCCTGACGTTGACGTTGCTGAACACCACTTCATACCGCGATCTTTCCGATTCATGTTTTGTATCTAAACACAGGGATTCAACACATAACCTAAATGCCCCTTGAAGTTAGAAGAAATAAATATTTGTTTTTGTCATTAGCGATTTAAATGACAAGTTTGATGATACATCTACTTTCCGTTCAGGCAACTGGTCTACTACAACCTTGACACCCCACAAAGCAACCAGGCCGTGGCGAGGGACCTTGTGACGGCACATTATCAGATTGAAGATGACAGTATGGGCGTGCCTCTTCACCTCAGGCCGTTGTTGTCGTAAGTTAATGTACATGTATATCTGCTGTCATGATGACTGTAATGACACAAAATGGCTGAAATAACGCCGATGTCAACTATTAACTCACTGACACAGAAACGTTTCCTTTACTTCTGGAAATCGTTACCAAATAGTAGTTCGGTTATATCCACATATAGCACCACAATTCTGCATCTCAACTGCATGTATTATCAGACCCTTGGTGCTGCGTTACATTAAAGGACAGATATTAAAAAGAATATAAGACAATAAGTGTGGCCTAATACAATCAGTGTTGATTATCGCTCACGAAATGCAGATCGATAACAACAAAACACATGTGGGCAATAACGCGACCATTGTGCCGATGAAACCGGCTCTGATTAATACAGAGATCAACACGATCAAGGATGCTTCTGTTGAGATAGGAACGGAGTATGTTGTTAACATGTCAGTTTAATGAGCTAGGAATCTGCATTAGTTGTTTGTCTTGATTTAACAAACATAACGATAAGAATCATACTTTCTGATGTTTAATTTGGTGTTTCCCTTTATGAATATCGATTTTTCTATCGAGCTCATCCATAATCGCTGACGCTGATCGATCGATTGACTCATTAGTCAATCAATTGCTCCAGCACTAAATACAAGCATTCTAGAGTCATAGGGATCGGTAGTCCTGTGATTTGGCTGATCAGCTTATAAATCAATAGTTGTGCATTCTTTCCACAATGGGGGCGGTGGGGTAGCCAAGTGGTTAAAGCGTTCGCTCGTCACGCCGAAGGCCCGGGTTCGATTCCCCACATGGGTACAATGTGTGAAGCCCATTTCTGGTGTCCCCCGCCGTGATGTTGCTGGAATATTGCTAAAAGCGGCGTAAAGCCATACTCAGGCAGTCAGTCAGTCTTTCCACAATGGTAATCTCTGTCGCTGGCGTTATTGTGTTCACTGGTTTGCTTGGTCCAGAGTCCATCATATACTAGCTGTAAGAACTCGAGTTGGAAGACCTGACTTGAGGGTGAAACTTTTACTCAGTCATTCAGTGTTGTAGAGAGGTGTCAGTATTTCATGCCATACAAAAACAGTCTACAGTTGATAGATTGTCTTCCAGTGCAGGTGGTCCCTTACATACGCCAGTCTACAGGGATCACTATCAATGATAGGTATGTGATACAAGACTCGTTACATCACCTTAACATACCGCAACTAGTAAACGCGAAATGCGAACCACCTAAGAAGGTGTTGAAGATGACCTTTCGGCTTGATCCCACTGTCCATAGGCCTGGATTTTTCATTAAGCAGAAGGTGGCGTTGTGGTTCTGGAGGCGTGTTTGTTGAACGAGAGCAATGACACTTGAGACCCATGTATGTCAGGTGTCATGGCAATATGTCACGACTTGACTAAATCTGGGGCACTCTTTAGGATTATGGAGCACTTATAACCGACAGAATCCTTCCCGTGGAGGTTTATATGACTTAACTGCATAATAAAAACGCAGTTATGTTTGACTCGGTTTACAGGAGGCTACTTTGTAAGGAAGCGCGTCTTTCCTCCTGATGTATGTTCTTCGGTCTGATGAATGTATAACTAGATTGGTTGGTCGCTTGACACAATGTTCCATTCATAGCGCGACCCGTGAAGATCCGGGTTAGAATTGGCCTTCAGCAACCCATGCTTGTCGTAAAAAGCGACACACGGGATCCGGTGATCAGGTTCGCTGACTTGGTTGACATAATTTATGTCATCGTGTCCCAATTGTGTAGATAGATGCTCATGCTGTTGATCACTGGATTGTCTGGCACAGACTCGATTATTTACAGACCGCCACCATATAGCTGGAATATTGCTGAGTGCTGCGTAAAACTAAACTCACTCACTATGAAGAGTAGACTCGGGCACCGCATTTCGTTATGCACAGTTGCCTCCCTTGGCACGCCAGGAACCAAATGATGTTTTGTTGAGGAGCAGTGACTCTGGTTTTACTTACACCGTATGTTCCTTGTTTTGTCAGAGTTGGTTGTTGTTTAGCGATGTACTCAGCAATATTCTACCTTTATGACGTCGATCTATAAATATCTGAGTCTAGACCAGCCAGATCATGATCATCGATCTACGCAGTTGTCATTCGATGCCACCTGTCCATAATATGCGAGCCTGACCACCCGACCAGGCTCTTACGATAAATCGATTCTACCACGGTCCCGGTTTATTTTACCAGGTTCACCATTGAGCTGCCTTTGTATGTGCTTGTGGTGTGTGCCACCACACCAGCCGAACACTCGTCTGCACACAAATCCTGATACGTGCCTTGTATTATTTAAATAACATATGCTTACGTATTTTGAACTATTTTCCTGCGATATTGGAATGGGCAAGAGTGAGTGAGTGAGTTTAGTTTTACGCTGCACTCAGCAATATTCCAGCTATATGGCGGCGGTCTGTAAATAATCGAGTCTGGACCAGACAATCCTGTGGTCAACAGCATGAGCATCAATCTTGGCAGTTAACCGATGACATGTGTCAACCTAGCCAGCGAGCCTGACCACCCGATCCCGATAGTCACCTCTTACTACAAGTATGGGTTACTGAAGGTTCATTCTATCCCGGACCTTCACGGGTCGGAATGGGCATGAGGTATATAGGGTAAAACAATTCTTACACGAGAAATACTGATTGACAAGAAGCAGAGTATTTGAAAATATATATTGTCGCTTAGTTTCTTGTCGAATATTGACAAACGGAAACTCTGGGGAATATAACGTAAGTATGACTCATTCAGGAAACAGGCATTTTACATTGTCTGGATTTTAATACGTAGGCGAGATTGTTATGTGTAGATTGTATTCAAACAACGTATATCCGGTAGCTGACGTCAACAGACATTTTTATGCTTTACTTTCTATGACTCTGTTGTACATCCTATACGCCAGTTAGTGACGATGGGGTCAATGTTGGTTTCATCATCAGGGCCAATAGGCAGGTAAACTGATATCAATTCCTCCTGGATAACTGAAGAACGTGTATTTCATGGTTTATATGTACAGATTCAGGGGCGAAATTGTAGTATTGGCACCAAGCATTTAATTATGGTTTATTGTATTAGTCATATAATCCTTTCCTAGTCGATCCTATATGAAAACAGCGAAGGACTGCAGGGTCGTAGGCGTACTGAGAATACATGTAGGCGTATGGATGACTTCGATCGATTCTCTCAAACAGCTATGACAGTTTCTATGATATTCTGGGATATGTGAATATATTGATACCAAACTGTTATTCGCTTATGTTATTGACCTATCCAGAGAAATGTGAGGCCATTAGGTCCCTGTAAACATGTTGATGGTTTGGCTTTGTGTATGTTAGCCTATACCTACCTACGTTCACTCGTCACGTCGAAGACACGGGTTCGATTTTCCACATGGGTACGATGCGTGAAGCCCATTTGTGGTGTCCCTCGCCGTGATATTGCTGGAATATTGCTAAAAGCGGCGTAAAACTAAACTTATTCACTCTACCGACCTACCGACCTACATAAATCAATCCATCCATCCGTCTATATATATGTTCATCTGTCTATCTGTCTGTCTATCACCTAATATATATCTATTGATGATCTATTTATTTATCTATCTGCCTCTCTATCATACATCTGTTTATTTGTCCATCTGTCTGTCTACCTATCTGTCTGTGTATCTATCTGTCTATCTCTATCTCTCTCTCTCTATATATATATATACATATATACTTTTCTATCTTTTCATCATCGATTTACCTATCTGCCTCTCTGTCATGTATCTGTCTATTTGTCCATCTATCTATATATATGCGTGTCTGTATGTATGTAGTGTCGGTGGGGTCTAAGAGGTCACTCAGATACATACAGGTATAATCCGTTACTGCCAAACGAATGACCAATGTAGGATCATTACAAAAGTCCCGTTTTTGTATGATATATAAACGTATGCGTCATAGCACATGCATTATGCTATGAAATTACGTGTCCTTACAGTATAACCCGTGAAGATCCGGGTTAGAATGAACTTTCAGTAACCCATGCTTGTCGTAAGAGGCGACTATCGGGACCGGGTGGTCAGGCTCGGTTGACACATGCCATCGGTTCCCAATTGGGCAGATCGATGCTCATGCTGTTGATCACTGGATTGTCTGGTCCAGACTCGATTATTTACAAACCGCCGCCACATAGCTGGAATATTGCTGAGTGCGGCGAAAAACTACACTCACCTTCCATAGTATATTATGCCAACGATCTTGAAGGCGATATTTAACCCCATTTCACATCACCTACCATTTTAGTGAAACCTTTCAACGCGACCACTTTGGTAAAGAAATACAAACTATCAGGAGAATCTAAGATTCGACTCCTGAACAAGGAATTATGGGGAATACAACACAGACAACGTGTGTCCTAGATCCACTATTGGGAACTGATACTGAAGCATTTAATGACAAACGCTTGATAATTAGTCCGAAATATACAATTAGACACAAAGCACACATGCATGTGGAAGACCCAGGTTTGCCCATATGGGTACAATGTGTGAAACCCATTTCTGGTGTTCCCCGCCCTGATATTTCTGGAATATTGACAAGAGCGGCGTAAAAACTTCCTCACTCTATGGAAAATATAACTGTTTTAACTTTAGTGATATTCTCAGTCTACTAATACTACTATAGGCATTTAAGTCTGGCCAAGCAATTGTTAACCATGTATATTTTACCAGGTGAGCTAAACGGTGGTAATTAATTTTCTCCGACGTATAGTTTTATTATGAGAGAAAAAAAAGTTGGGCGCCTTAGAGCCTTTTTGATGTATTGAAATGCCAAGAACGTCCCTCTTTCATGACCCGAAAACAACGTGTCACATTTATGTTGTTAAAATATTAAGAACGGTAACCGCAACATTCCTCAGCCACACAATACATTCACTGGCGTGTGACTTGCCCTTTGCTCGTTACGTGCTTAAACACCCAGTTTTTCACAAGTCGTGCACGTCCCATT